CCCCAAAACCCCAAAACCCCTTAACACTGTTTAGATTGATATTTTAAGAATAAATATTAGTTAAATCAAACAATTAAATGGAAATAAGATAGTAAGAGCCTCTAGTAGGCACAAACTATACATAAAAAGCTAATATACTAGAGTATTAACAAGCAACTGCCAGCAATAGCAATAAATATATTCCATTTACTGGTAAATTCATCCGTCCCTAGCATAAAGACCATTAAAAGACTCACTCGCCCTAGTAGTAGAGAGGAGATGAACAGAAACAGCTTGAAAACGGCATCAATAGCACAGGCAATAATATTCCATCGTAGTAAAATTATTTGAAAAATGCCATAAATGGATCAATTAATATTTCTCATAACCCAAGCTCAACAAAGAATAATGTGAATGCAACGTTTCAGATAGCTAATGCAGAAGCCATTTCATAATAATAGATTTAGCAGTAGCTGCCTTAACTAAGTGGAAAGCATTTTAAAAGCAAGAGCAGTATTATGAAGAAAAATAATTTAACATACATGAATCCATTTGCGAATTAGTTTTCAGAGAACTCTGAAACTAATGTCACCACTCACACCAATCAAGAATTGATAAATGGAATCAATGCATTTAATAGCAATGATGGCTTGAAGAATAGCTCTGAGATGAAGTCGAAGAGAGACTCACTCCAAGAAAAAGTTTACAATCATTTGATTAATACAAAATCGCTGCCATAGCTAGGAAATGTAAATAACAGAAACAATCAAATTCATAAAGATTATGATTAAGTATGGCAATAGTAGTAATTTAATTCCACTACTAATAATAACAACAACATTCTTAATCAGAGGTCTTAACTCACTGTTCATAAGCTCTTGAACTATGGCCAAAAGGAAACACAAGATGGATTCATAGATCCTAATCAGCCCCTTCTCGCAATCCAATCTAAGAATTTGAAATTTAACGTTATCAAATAAGGTTCAGGTAATCCTACTTAGCATACAAATGATAAAATCCAAGAAATGCAAATTAATAATGGTTTTTGTACTCCTCAAGCAAATACCATTGTGTCGAGTCCATTGCAAAATATTATGAATCCTCTCACTAATCTTAACTTTGATGATAAAAAAGATGTGAGAGATTGGTTTTAGGAGGGGATTGATGCATATAGATAGAGGTTACATCTTTACAATTTTAGATCAAAACACGTGGTAGTTTCAAAACCTTCTGGTCATGCCGAGTCCCCTTTAAATATGGTCTAATCATCGAATATATAGATTAAGTTAAATAGTGACCTTTCAATTTAAGATCAAATTAATCAGAATATCAAATAGAAATAACTACAGTAGCTGATAAACACTAGAACGTTTCAATAAAATTCAAAATAGTAACAGCTAGATAGGACACCTAACAATAGGCTTAGCTCATTAAGCAAAGTGCCTTAACAGTAGTAAATTAGAACAAATGCGCTATCACCTATTCATTCAAAGAATTAAGTTATGACATACGACTACTCCTCTGGTAATTTTTCTACCCCTTCAGATACAATTAAGGTCACCAAAAAGGAATTAGTGTAAAGATATGAAATTCCACCTCAGTAATAATAGTAAAATACCTATAATCCTCATCACAGATAGTCATCAAGCTAGAGTCAGCATCTCTGACATTAGCTTTTGAGCTTTTACAATAACATTGAGATCACATCTAATGATAAATTTGCTCACCTGGGTCTCTGATTGATGAAAAGGGATCAACTTGAGGCTTTAGTAAGAGAATTGGTTGAACAAGAAGCACTCAATAAATTAAGAATCGATGTTCCGAAAGATAATTACAACAACAACCTTAATAATATTAAAATGCATCATAAAGACCTTAGTGGTATAAACGGAAACGGTTAGATAATGAGTAATAACAATAATCACATTAGAAATCACATTAAAATAAATAAAAAGATCGAGGATAAAATAAGAGGTATTCTGAATATCGGGGATGCAAAAATATCTATATAGATTGTACCTGCTACTTAGAAAGGTGATAGTACATCGTTTGATCCTAATAAAAAAGCACCAATTATGATAAGAATTAAATAGGATGATTTCTTAAGTCAAAATATCCTACAAGATGAGGAATATGAGATACCAATTAACAACAGATTATTAGTAAATACGAGAGGTTCAGAATCGAGACCAATATTTTCTCAAAAATATAAATCTAGACAATAGATAAAAACTCTTGACTAAGTGCATTCACATGAAGCAAACTCTACCTAGCCCTTTGAACATAAAATGTAAATTACTGAAAATGCTATCAAAATTGTTAGGTAGCAGTATAAGGAAGCCTAGAAGAAAAATATGGCTAATTTAGGTCTAGCATAAACGCAAAATGTTTAATTCAATTCTTCAAATGGGCACCTACTTTTGAAGCACAAGGGTCTCCTCTCAATAGACGATGATTTCAGAGGTTAAAATTATCCATAGACTAAAATCAAAATCCTTCACTAAATTGATGATAAATTACTTGAAACATATTATAAACATCCAGTAAACAAAGTTATCAACACAATCAATCAGTTTATAGCCAATATTCTCAAGAATAAAAATCTGTCAAGCATGCCGTAATCATAGATATAAAGTGAGTTCAAGAAATTCAACCTCGTAATTCCTAAAAATTAGAATATTAATGGTTCATATCTAAGATCTAAGGAATTTTTGAATAATGCCAAGTCTTAATTGTATAGCAATTTGTTCTCAGTCATAAACCAGGAAAATGAATTTACTCCTAAAGTTTAAGAAACCAGCTCATATAAGTATTTTATCGGGAAGGGAAATAATGGATATTTAGTAAAAATGTTGTTTAAATAAAGAGTATCTTCCTGGTGTTAAGTGACTAAGAAAAAAGGTCTTGAGGAGACAACACTTGAAAACGTACATTTTATCTGGACTCAAATTAAAAGATAGCATATAATGAACTGCTTTGATCAACTTATCAAATCAAATCAGGATACTAGAGACTCAACTACTGTGGCTGGAGGAAAGTTGAGCAAGAGCAATTTGAATACAAGAAGTTTTTCTGGAGATTAATCGTCAAGATCATCTCTTGAAAATGATTAAGAACAAAAAATCCAGTTATTTTATAGTGCCACTGATGTTAGATAATAACTTGATAATACTGTTAGAGTCTATGGTAAACTTGAGAACAACTATCATCTTGCAAACAAAAAAGCACTTTTCATGAACATGAAGAATTACTATGAAGCAATTGACGAAGATCCATTTATTGCGTTGCCTTTGACTTTTCACATTAAGGATGGATTGAGTGACCCTATTTTCAGCCAATTCAAGAAAATATTTGATGACTACTCAAGAAAGCCTCAAATTAAGAATGTTTGGATTGTAAAGCCTGGAGAAAATACAAATAGAGGCACAGGTATTTAAGTTTGTAATAAATTAGCAGATATCATATAAATAATCTAGTAAAACAATGTCGATCAGTTCTATCAGACCTTCATCATTTAAAAGTATATCGAAAGACCACTTTTAATAAAAAAGAGAAAATTTGACATTAGATGCTATGGTTTATTCACGACTGTTAATGGATATTAAAAAGGATATTTCTATAATGATGGCTATATAAGAACATCTTGTAAAGAGTATAACACAAATAATCTCAATAATAAATTTATCCATCTAACGAATGATGCAGTCCAGAAAAAAAGTGATGACTATGGGAAATTTGAAAATGGAAATAAGGTATAAAACATCTTCGCATAAAATTTTTGTTTTAGTTGTCGTTCAGAGAGTTCTAAAAGTATCTAGATTAAAACTTCTCAGATCTTTGCATCGATTTTCAAAGAGATTTATTTAGCCAAATAAAAGTAAATTTGTTTGTTTCATAGTACTATAGAAACTAATTTAAGATACTTACAGGGCAGTTTATGGTAAGCTAGATCCATTCAAAAGGCTTCATGGATTCGAAGTATTCGGCTATGATTTTATGATTGATGAAGACTTTAAAATATATCTGATTGAAGTTAACACTAATCCCTGTTTGGAGACATCTTGTCCTTTACTGGCTAGGATTATCTCAGAAATGATTGACAACTCTCTGAGAATAGCCTTTGACCCTATGTTCCTGAATTACTCTTCAAATAACAATACCAATCCACTAAATGCAAATCAAGCTTAATCTTAAGATTAGGCTAAGAATCAGAATCAAACCTCTTATTAGTAATCACAATAGTTGCAACAATAAAATTAATAAAAGAAATAGCAAGCAATATAGCAAAACGATTTGAGCATTCCTTTAATTAAGTATGAATTAGTCTTTGATGAGAAAGTTGATGGTCCTTATCTAAAGCAAAATGTCATTTCTAAATACAAGAATGATGATATAATAATAGTTGAAGAAGATGAGGAGATATAGGATGAGTTCGATGGTGATGATGATAAATTAGAAAATAGTAACAAAAAACCTGCAACTAACTATTGAAAATTTGCTAATAATTACACATCAATATTATATCATTAAATTTATCATTTAAATTATTCAAAAATAGATTCCTTCTTGAACCTAATGGGGTTTTGGGGTTTTGGGG